ATAATACTCGTGGGATACAGCTACTGCTATTCTATTCTATAATACTCGTGGGATACAGCTACTGCTATTCTATTCTATATAATATTTAAGGCTTAAAGCTACTTATATTGCACTCTATAATAATGGGATATGGCCATTATATTGCAGTTTAGAATGCACAGTGGCTCCGCTTCATGTAGCTGGCATGCTATAAATGCCTGTCGATAATTTATAGCTTAATCAGTAACGTTCACGAATAATTAATTGTCCTAGCATCTGTAAAGAATGGCTAGAATCTGCACAGAGCTTCACAGCTGATGTGTTTTTGTGTAACGTAAGTCGAACAGACTTGTAAACAACGTGCGAGATTTAACGCTCGCTCTCTCCGCCTGCCTCACCTCAATGCAGGTGGCGCCTCTGCAGCCGAAGTCGTGAAGCTTGAGTTCGATGCCATCTAGGCTGTCAGCAGTCTCATACAGGTACTTGGCGATTATCTCCTTCTGTGCGCGAGACACCGTCGCGACCGACATCGGGTACCAGACTTGCACGAAGATCGTCTACAAGCATCCATTGGTTCATCAATAACCGCCACAAACTGAAGCCTTTGATTTTATTTCTAGTTCAGCCTTAAATTTTTGTCTTGTGATTACTTGTTGTTATTTTTATGCATTAATGCTTACTACTTTAGCATTACTATTTATTATAATTAATTATCTAATGTTATACAATGACGTCAAATGACATTATCCCATGAGATTTTTTTCGATACTTTGATTGATGGAATTGCTCTCACCATATGATATAGTTTCTCCCTGCAGTAAGCCTAATGGGATGCTATATATAGGAGTGAAGGATACTTGCTGTGCTGTATGATTTTTGCAACTGCTAAATTGCATTATGATAGCACTGACCATGCAAGTACTAATTTGATGAGAAAGCGATAGATTTTCTGTCTACACTGTTTCTATGTCTAGGAGTTAGAGTACATAAAATACGGCTATGGTATGTTTATATATGAAATTATGTATAAAAATGCCAACATTGTTGCAAATGTGCTGGTGGTGCATACAAACCATGTTAGATTTCATTAACCTTTTCCATGTTATAGAGTTCGTAACAATAGCGTATACAGAAGCTCAGTGTTCTCTTGTTTAATAACTGGAGATTTTAGTGCACTCACCTCGAACCATGTTGTCAGCCATGGCACTTGCGGATCTGTGCTCTCCACTGAGAATAGAATGTTTTTTGTTGGTATTACAGATCCTTCAGGGACGGCTCGCACCCTCAGTGGTAGGTAGCCTTTATATTTCTTAAAGAAAGTAGATACATGAACTATCTTCTAGCATAAATTATAACTAACAATTTAATCAATGTGTGAATATAATGTAGGCCCTAATGAGTGAAATTACTAAATAAATTAAAAACTCATTTTATATCATATTAAAATGAAAAAATCATGTGATGCAAATTATATAAGGATTATGCTTGTGTTCAAAATTTAAATATTCAATTTAAGCCTACTATGTGTTGTTAATGAATAACATTTAGCAAACGCACCTCCCAAATATATGTCCAACCTTCTTCATTGAACACTTCTTGAACAAAGTGAAGTTTATAGAATTCTGCTGCTTCTCGGATCATCTGCTTATTCAGAACTGGGCCCACCAGCCATCTTTTTAGAATATACTGAAAAAGAATTCCTATCTGTCTAATTTTATATGTTCTACTCCAATTAACTAACTTGAGTTCAGGGTTCTCCCCAGGATGAAATTGAAACAGGGGGAGAGGAGAGAGGGGAGAGGGAGGTGGAAGGGGGAGGGGGAGGGGAAGAGGAAACTAGGGGGGTACGGAGGCCTGGTCGAATCACTGGCAGCAAGAACAAGTCCGCACCTGCAGCTACAACACACACGCATCTATTGACTATATATAACTAGACAGAGGGCACTCACGGAGAGTGCATACCTCCGCGAGTATCTAACATGTATGTGCTCGCTGGTGGCGGCTGCTGACTGACTCGCCTGCTGCTGACTCGCCGCTCACTGGTGGCTGCTGCTGACTCGCCACTCGCTAACTCCACGCGCTATCGATTCGCCGCTCACTGGTGGCTGCTGCTGACTCGCCACTCGCTAACTCCACGCGCTATCGATCGCGCGATGGCTACACACACACACACACACAAGACCGATTACATGACCTCCGTTGCGCGGAGGTAACAACATTATATATAGTTATATATAACTACTATAACAACTATAGCTACTATAACAACTATAACTACTATAACAACTATATATAACGTTGCTATATATAGTCAATAGATGCGTGTGTGCTGTAGCTGCAGGTGCGGACTTGTTCTTGCTGCCAGTGAGTCGAATGGGAATTCTTGCCGAGGTGGCCCCAGAGCAGCAGCGCCTCCAAAGCTGACTCACTCAGCCTGTTCCTCATATAGCCATTCCCATTAACAACAACAACAACAACAACAACAACAACAACAACAATAATATTGTAACATAAAACAACGATTGAAACGGGGGGGGGGGAGTTTTCCCAAACGGGGCGGGTGCGCCCGGTTTGCGCAACGTAGGGAGAAGCCTGGAGTTGACAAGCATTCATTTGTTTTATGCATGCATCTATGATAATTAGGATATTTTAGTGGGGGTGGAACGAAAAGCCTTTGCATATTATTCAGGATGATTATGTGACATTTGATAATTAACATGATAATTAATTGCAACATTAATCATTATTATTCATATTAATTATTATCATTCATAGATGATCATTATGATTTTATAGCTTCTGAAGAAATAATTATACCCACGTAGATTAAATGTGCAATAAAAAGCAAGCATTCTGCGTAAGTTATGTAGTACCGGGTAATGCATGTCATCTGATGCATTACATATTATTACATAATACATTGTACATAATATGTAATGTGGAATGTACATAATATATTATGTAAAATACATAAATACATTGATGTATTATTACATACATCATTAATAATCAGTATTACATGCATAATTAAATCACCTGTAAGCCAAAGAAAACAGTGGTTGGAAACTTTCCTCCCCTACTCTCAAAATAGCCCCACAGCGCAGTTGTGCCAGGTGGATACTGCTTGTAGTGAGACACCTAAAAATATCAATGCCATAGGAAAGTGATAATTGCAATATTATTAAAACGCGTCATTTAAAATCTACGATGCCCTTGATCCAATGATTCGGAGGGCTTCAGTAGTTTATCAATATTTCTAGCACCAATTGCCTGATTCGAATGCAGAGCCTGCACCCGAAGAATTTGGCAAAGTAGGTAAAGGCATCATTAATCCTAGACGATATAACGACGAAGAGCCAATTATGCTTTCCAGTTCCACGGTGAATTTATAAATCCCCGATTTTCAATCCGATGATTATGGCGTCACCAACTCTGCAGCAGCACCGCGGGTTCGTTTATCGATCATTCAGCAGGTAATATTAATAAGCAACTACCACGACTGCAGTGCATACATAGGCCCTATATATACACCGTCGCCAAGGCGGTTTATGAAGCGGCTTTCCACTTCCAGTCCCACTCCCAGACGATGCTATCGTCGATAAATACACATACCTTATAGGAGTCGGTTTGGAGTATGATGTTCTCCGTAGTTCCTCCCATTCCACAGCCTCCCAGTATAACTTCAGTATTTATTTGTTTTCTATGTGTAGTTTACGTCTCGGGAAACGAATCGGTCACGGAATCGACATGGGTGGTTTGGTGGTGAGTGCCGAGTGGTTGTAAACTTCAGTGAAGGCCAAAAGGTGGCGCCACGCAGCCTCCCTCTAGTGGCCACAGACAGAATTATGGTGATGGTTATGTGTAGACCGGTTTTAATCTAAAGAAATTAGTAATATTGCAACTACTAAAGAGTCGAAGATGTCAGATAAGTGAGTATAGATATGTTAAGATAACTAGAGTTGTGGATAATAACGGAAATTATGTCAGAAAATGGCTCATTTTAGACAAATAAAATTTGTTGTCAAATTGCGATCGGCCCAACCCCTCTCACTGTCTCAGTTACGTTGATACAATGCAGACATGTTGCCGTCAACCGAATTGATGCTATGCGGTCATCGCAGCCGTTCTATAAATAACGCTCCTGTTTGTTTTGTAGCCAAATTGAGCAGGACGTTCAGCGGCCCGAGCAAGAAGAGCTCGCAGCGGGAGATGCTCAGAAGAAAAGGTTTGTTTCCTACAGTACTGTGCCCAGCAATGATTGTGTGTTACTGTGTATGGTATTGGTAGTGTTACTGCTACTAGCAACTTTGTTACTGTTTGTAAGATAGTTTTGTTGTTTTTGCGTTGTGGTTTCGTCTCTTTATATACCTGTATGTAACTTTCTTGAAGTATTCTATAGATAAACCTCAAAGAGAGTAGATTTCTAAATAAATCTGCTTTTTTGTAACCTGTAATTTAGATTTTGTAGAATGTTTTTTTTTAAAGTTATACAGTGAATAGTTGGATTTTTGTGTTTTTGGAGGAATAGAGTAATATAGTTATTGTGTTTTATATAATAATAGCAATATCTTATCTAAGTATACACATAAACAAATGCATGTATGTATGCACATAAAGGTTTTCGCAAGTAATTGCACACATACCCGTGCACACGCACACGCACACAAATGCACATGAAAATTCGTGTCCACATACATGAATCTTGTGGACTTTTACTGTCCGTCAAGCCATTACACCATACCAGGGTGCAAAATTAACGGTAGTCCGGAGTCAAATACTCCCTGATTTACTGTCGGACTCCCTGATTTGACATATGCAGGAGTCCGTGTGACTCCCTGAAAATTCTGCCATACTAACTAGTGCTCATAGGGTCTATGTCCCCCAGGTTACTGCCGGAACGTACCCTGGTAACTATTTAATATGGTTAGGGTTAGGGAGTAGGCGTAGGCGAGGTACGGTCCGGCATATTAGATAGTACCAGGGTACGTTCCGGCAGTACCCTGGGGGACATAGACCCTCTCAGCCTAACTAGCCTCGTGGAATTACCGTATTTTTCCAGCTAATGTCCAAAGAAAATTTAGCAGACGTGCAACCACATAAATCTTAAAAATAAGCACATGCGTTATTGTTAATTTCTTTCATTTTGAACACCAGACTGCGGACTCCCTCCTTTTGAGGGTAGGGAGTTCGTTGGACTCCCGTGTTCAAAAGTGAATTTATACCCCTGCCATACTGTTCTGATTAACAGTTATAGTTGGCAACAATTATACCAATTTTGCATTAATTTTCGAATTGATCAGCATGGTATGCGTACTTCTATTGTTTACCCCATAATAACTTTCAAATTTCTTGCTAGTTCATTTTACCAATGCCTTTTATCGTGTTGCAGCAAAGAGACGGCCAATGGTATTGAGAACCCGTTCAGGCCCGGGGGATCTCTTGACCATGAGGCTGATGTGATACTAGATGCGATCAAACATGGCCGCCCGTTAACACCAACAGGTAGGTGCCATGGTTGAAGGACGTGGTCGACATTGCAGCCAGCGTGACTGAGGCTTTCACAGGCAAAAATTCACCGGGGACCTCTAGACTAAAACCCTAGCAGTTCATATATTCACAGCCGAGTAGATGCCCCGCTGCAGTGTTCCACCACAGTCGTTTCACATTTAATAAAACTGTGACCTAGTCAACTGGGATCCTTTCTTCTGGGAGGCGTACACGACTCTCTGTATGGAGGTTTTCCTGGAGTATAATATCCTACTCTGGTATTTTATCTGCCAAAAACATACAATTTAAAATAGGCTGTTTATGTCTGTAATATAAAATGAAAGTTTATTTGAGTGCCATCAGTGTGTGCTATACACTAATGTTACATATTGCCATATTATAAGCAAATTAAATTTTCGTCCTAAAATGTTTGAGCTACCATAGTTGCTCAAAGACTTCCATATTACAAAATTAAATCTAGTTCAATCAATAAATCGAGAATTTTAATCAAATTACATGTTTGGAAGGGAAGTGGTGTTCTAATAGATAACATACTTAATTTCACACTGAAAGGTTTAGGGTTCGAATCCCACCTTTGTCACTGCTGATGTGCCCTTTAGCTTAATTTGCTTCAGTCAATGTTTGCAAGGATGAGATTTTTCCTCTGCTCCAAGGAACTGATTTAGTTTTACTGTCCCAGGGGCTGACTTTGTAAAATATCTAAATTTAATGAGAAAATTTCAAGGGAAGGGATGAGAACGTGAAAATCTTAATTTCAGTATTCAACCGTACATTTATTCAATAAAAAATGCAGTTTGTGCTGAATTTTGCATGATGTATGCAGGGGTTTGAGGGGAGAATTGCCCATTTGAACCCCTGAGCAGGGCTCTGCCCTCGACCCCGCCTTTTCTCCTCTGAAAATGAAACTCTTCATTATCACATCTGCCGTAGAAATGCATTTATTCACCGGTGCGAGGCTAACAACTCTGTTACCTACAATGCACCACAGTTTCCGATGGCCTATGGCTGCTCGATAATTGGATTCGAGTGACTAGGTCATTAGAGAATGCGGTGTTAGTAGCGTGCGGCCGTTAATACGTGCGTCGCCATGATTACTGCCACTTCGTTTCCGTTACTAGGTGACATGCCGGTACAGGAGGAGATGATTGGCTGGAGCGCGACATCAAATGTGAGTTCCGCACCACCTGGTGGCCACGGCGATGCAGTCGACACAAACCAGGTTCAACTGAAGGACGGTCAGACGGCGGAGGTGAGAGCAGATCACAACGACAGCGATGTTCCTGCCACGAGGGGGCGCCGCGGGCCGGTTTCCGTCGAGTAAACGTTTGACGCGTCAATCGTGCTATGTCATGCACACCGCAGTACTCTCACACGAGCCTTTTCGCCATCTCGAGAGTTCACGTATTCGCTTGTTTCAGGTTGAGGGCGGCGTCGTGACGCCGGCGGGCGGCGGGGCCGAGCAGGCGGAGAAAGTCACCATCGAGAAGAAACCGAAGAAGTGCTGCACGATTCTGTAGTGCGCGAGGGTCGTCGTCGGGGTCACACAGAGGTCGCCAGGGTCATGCAGGGGTCGAAGGACCTCCGTGACTACTGCGGGCTCGACGACTCTACCCCCTACACTTGAAATTAAGAGAGACACGTAGCCCCCTCGAGTAGCCAGAGGGGACTAGTCCGCAGTTAGCGCTTTCCACGATTCGTAAGGCAGAGGCAATTTCTTTTAGGGAAAAAAAGCTCTCGGCTCAAGAGCCGGGGTCGAGCGAGGCGGCGCCATGGCAACCGCATCCTCCGTTCGGAATTATCTCGCGACCGTTAGATGCGTGCAGCGAGCGCCGCTTCCATACCAACTCAGCATCCAATTAGCGCCGGATTTTACGCGAGGCAGGCATTTCTGTTTTCCGGCACCAGATGCCTCTGCATGCTTATGCAAGTTCATTCTCGTCCAACATCACTACCAGTTATCAGCGCGACGCCTCGTCGCACGCACACGGATGGCGCCTGCATGGCAGCGGGTCACTCAATCAGTACCGATGGCCTAACTACTAACTAGTGTCGTAAAACTAACGATTAGTCAGTCCGGCGAGCGCGCATGCGCCTCTCTCCGGCAGTTTTTTCGCGTGGGCCGGGTCGTATATACGGCGAGCGCATTTTACTTCTACGACGCCCGTCGTATGCTCATTTTAAGGATAGCAGAATATCGGCTGCGAGCGCGACGCGGCTGCGGTAACCACGGCAATGGTGTCTTCGTCACGGCACCTGCGCAAGTGCGGCTGCAACCGTTGTCACGGCAGCCGTGACCGTCGCCGCGTCGCGCACGCGCCCAGTTGTAATCTCGCTCCTCGCGAGAGTTCCTCACATCTTGTATTTTTTCATTATTTATTTTTCTGTTTGTTATCACATGTACGTGTACGATCGTAGGTGTGTCGCACGCGCCGGCACGAGTGTTGGCAACGTGACGGGAGATGCGTAGATTGTCTAGCTAGCATAAGGAGATTTTCGCTGAGGATCGGGTCTGTGGCGGGGTTTTTAACAGTATTGATTAGTCGATTACTCATTAGTTTTGTAAAGGTTGCCGAGAATAAATTGCGTTTGTTGCGTAACGAGGAAACAGGACAGGGCTAGACCTAGGATCAGTGGGAAATTTGTTGTGTACACTATTAGCATTTTTCAACATGGTGCTGTTTTCTGATCGTTGCATGTGTCTGATTGTCTCTTTTATTGTACCTGTGAGTTGAAAGTTTACTCCCCCCCTCCATGATTTTTCTCGCCAGAATGAATCGGGTGTAAGCAGCATGCAGGAACATTTTAAAGTTTGTAGAAGTGTGTATTGTCTAGAGTTTTTACTGACAATTTTACTCTATACCATGGCTTTCCAATTTGCAGCTGAACCGTCGCGCTGCTCTTTGTGCTGTGAGTTTGCACGTAGATGGCGCTAGTAGTCTGCTTGCACTCTTGTTTTGCACTGGTAGTCTAATCCGCTTTGTGTGCGTTTTTAGATGGCTTCGTATTGCATTTTATTATTATTATTATTATTATTATTCGTAATATACGATCTGATTTTATATTTTATTATGACTCTCTGAATCTGAGCACGTTTCTCTGAGATACTGACGCGGTTGTAACGGTGCAGCATTGCCGCGTCTTGTCTCACGAGCCCGATGCCAACGGGTCTCCGCGACGGCCGTCGCCGACCCCCCCCCCTCAGTCGAGACATTGAGTTGAGACGTCAATACATAAAGGTTGTGACGTGTTAAGGCTGCTAGTCTAGTCGAGACAGAGCCGAGACGTCAATACATTAAGGTTGTGACGTGTAGTTGCTGCGAGTCTAGTTGAGACTTCGAGCCGAGACATTGAGTCGAGACGTAGGCACTCACATTGGCGATGGGTCCGCCGCGGAGCCGCCCACGTAGTGAGCATAGTAGACGCTAGTTTTGTAACGGTAGAAGGCGGGTAGACTCAACTTGCGACACGGCGGCTGAGAATTGAGAGCATGAGAGCGACGGCGCACGTGCACCCGGGGACCGATCGAGCTTCTCTCTCGCGTCGAGTCCTCGCCGGCGTTTGCGAGGCAAAAACCCATGCCGAAATCCGGTCGGGAGCGATTTGAAAAGAAAGATTCGCTGCCGCGATTGTCGCGTGGAGGTTTGCGCGAGCGGTCGTCCCACGAACGAGGCGTCATCTTCCGCGCGCCTCATCGATGTGATGTCTGCGGCTAGCAAACTGTTGTACTTAGTTGCCGCTCGTTTCGTGTTAGAAGCAACGTGGCGACGGCACTGCCAAATTACCGCACGCGCGTCGTCGTGGTGTGTCCAGGCGTGACGATTTCGTCGCGACTTGAAGGCATGGATTGTTGATGAGGTGTACGGACAGGTGTCGTTTGATCGGCGGGACGGATGGCTCGACGAACGGCGCAGTCGCGGCGCGTTTCTTTTTATGTCGCTGTCGGCAGCTGTTTTTTGAGTTTCCCCTTCCTCAGTGTTTTTTACCTGGTTAGTGTTTAGTTGTAAATACATTTGTGTCGTCATTCTATCAGCATCAGCTCAGTTTTAAGCCAAGTGTGCAAAATAAAAACCAATATACGAAATAAAATTGCGTTTTTTTTCTGTCATCACTCTGCTTATCCTGGTCACTGAACAAGCAACAGCAGTAGCTGAAATGGCTTCAGGAATAGTAGTAACAGCAGCAGCAGCAGCACCACCACCACCACCACCACCAGCAGCAGCAGCAGCACCACCACCACCACCACCACCACCACCACCAGCAGCAGTAGCAGCAGCAGCAGCAGCAACAGTAGTAGGAATAATGATAGTAGCAGTAGCAGCAGGAAAAAAATACAGAAAGCCTTTCTATGATACCCATAAATTATTATTTTTAAACAAGTTCGTGGAAAACGTACAGGATGGATTATTGCACATTACCAGCTGATAACCACCACAGATTACTGACGTGTGGAATCTTTGATTAGACACCGACTTACATCACATTACGCCAACCCTCTCGGTTGGTAATTAGTAATAAATACGTTGCTACAAACTATCAGTCCCTGACTGACGTTTAGCGTTCACGATACCAACGCCGACACAACTTAACAATTTGTCTTAACAACACCATTGAGTCTCCAAGTGCACAATAAAGGTAGAGCGGCTAGTGCCACTCACAAACCAAGATCTCATGAAAGACTGACAGATCGCATTAGCTGCTTCACAATAGGATAAAATGTTCCATTAATAGAGACACTCCCTCCTCAGCGCTATAAAAACGTAATGACGGCACACACACGCGCTCACAAGCCTCAACAATAACACCTAAACAAGCGAAGGACATTCCTGCAGCTTTTCCTGTCACCAGGGGGCGTCACCACAATCATGACGATAAAGCAGGATCCCAACTCCAACCTAACAACAGAGAGCATCGCTGCTCACCAGGTGGTGTCGCTGCTCACCAGGTAGCGTTGCTGCTCACCAGGTGGCATCCCTGGTCACCAGGTGGCGTCGCTGCTCACCAGGTGGCATCCCTGGTCACCAGGTGGCGTCGCTGCTCACCAGGTGGCATTGCTGCTCACCAGGTGGCGTCGCTGCTCACCAGGTGACGTCGCTGCTCACCAGGTGGCGTTGCTGCTCACCAGGTGGCATCCCTGGTCACCAGGTGGTGTCGCTGCTCACCAGGTGGCATTGCTGCTCACCAGGTGGTACAGTTACTCACCAGGTGGCGTCGCTGCTCACCAGGTGGTACAGTTACTCACCAGGTGGCGTCGCTGCTCACCAGGTGGTACAGTTACTCACCAGGTGGCGTCGGTGCTCACCAGGTGGCGCTGTTAATCAGGGATCACCTCGGGCAGGTTCTGTATCGTGACGCCATTGTGGTGGCGTCCAGACTCCGCCCAGTCGACGGACAGCGTCGCGATGCGTTCGTACTGCGACGCTGCATGCGCCCGCTGCCGCCTCACGCACAGGAAGACGGCCGCCACGCCCGAGAGCACGCCGAGCGTCGCCACGACGATGACGACGTACTGCATCGTCTGCTGAGAGATGCTGCGGAGGATGCTGCCGCTGCTGCCGGCGGCGTCGGCAGCGGGAGCGGCGGACGATGACGTGATGCCGACGCACGTCCGGTAGCCGCGCCCGCGCGTCTCCGAGATCGCACACAGCATCCGCGTCACGCACGCCGCGTCGCACCGCCGCGCCGCGCCCACGACGTGCCCCACCAGGTTGCGCTCGTAGTACGCGCGGAAGAGCGCGTCGCCACCGGTGGGCACCGCCAGTCGCTCGTAGAGACGCGAGAGGGCGCCGGTTGTCAAGTCGGCGATCGAGTAAGCCGCCGTCGCGCGATACTCGAGCCGCCACACGGGCAGCGGCAGCGGCGTGGCAGAGATGGTGGTCGCGGGTCGATGGTAGATGGTGAGATGGGAGAGTGGCGTGCCATCGCTGCTGCGCATCACCCCCGTGCTGCCACCTGGTGTCGATGATCTCGCGTCAAGCGTGGCATTTGAGTCGTCGCTCGTCGGCAGCCGTGTGATCGCATAGGCGGAGCTACTGTTCACCTGCAGAGCAGAAGGTTGTAGGTGATGTCAGGCCATCACAGTGCAATCACAGTGCAGATGAGTGTAATAGGGAAGGTTTGTGTACCTATATGCATGCCCAAGTGTGCCCAGGTGTGTGTGCACTGGCGCCCACAGGTCTTATGAAAGTAGAAGCACAGAAGGATAAAATCCTCAGTGATAATAAAAAGCAAGCGCTGTAGGCGCGCTGCATGCTAGGGGGGTCTGGGGGCATGCCCCCCTGAAAATTTTTGAATGGTAGACGTCTGGAGACGCAATCTGGTGAGTCTTGCGAGAGAGATTTAGGAACAAAATGTAGGAACAAAATTGTTTAACCCAAAATTTACTGGAAGCACTGTGCTTCCAGTGCTTCTATCTGGGGGCGCCACTGTGTGTGTGACCAGTTGTGCAGCCAAATGTGTGACCAGGTGTGTGCAGTCAAGTGCGTGCAGTCTGCTGCGTGCAGGCAGGTGTGTGCAGCCAGTAGCCGGGGTGCCTTAACATTACCGACTAACCAAGTGTTGACTTGTTTTTCGACGAGACGAGAAGTAGACGATAGTCAGACAACATAACGAGATCATATCAGGTAACATCGACTAAGGAAGCAGTAAGCATCATAAGATTCACCAGGCAGTGGTAGGTGATACGTCTGCGTGTGCTGCGTGTGCCCATGCACGCGTGTGTGATTGTGTGTGATTGCGTATGTTCATGTGTGCGTGTGCGTGCTGGCGTGCGTGCGTTCGTGTCCCTGCATGCGTTCGTGCGTGCATGCGTGTCAGTGTGCGAGTTCTTCCCGGTTTACGCGCCCATCAAACACACAAACAGGTCGTCGGGGTTAGATTTTAGGGAGCAGGATGGTCAGTGGGGTTGGATGAGGGCCGGTCAATGGGGTGAGATGCGGGATGGTCAGTGGGGTTAGGTGAGGGTTGGTCAGTGGGGTTAGGTGAGGGTTGGTCAGTGGGGTTAGGTGAGGGTTGGTCAGTGGGGTTAGGTGAGGGTTGGTCAGTGGGGTTAGATTAGGTCCGGTCAGGGGGGTAGCAGTGGGGTTGACCGGTCATTGGGGGTCTTGGTCACTCACCTGTGTCAGGTTGAGCATGTACTGTGAGTAGTCGAGCATTGAGCAGTCGTCGCGGCGGTAGCTGTAGAGCCGCACGGACGGGTTGACCGGCGCCGGCCCGTGATACGGCGTCAACGACGGCGCCGTGAACGCACTGCCGACCACCTCACCTGCAGCATGAACATGTGTGAACAACTTACACATGGAACAATCGCAGCATGAACATGTGTGAACAACTTACACATGGAACAATGTGCAGATGGAATATGTGTATCATGAACATTTGTATATAATTATATATATATATATATCCTATTATCTACTCCTGATATATATATATATATATATTATATATATATATCTTATGTACATACTCTATTATGTACTCTTGATATATATATCAGGAGTAAATAATCTCAAAAATCTGATATGTGTATATATAATATAAATACGCGTGTGCGTGCACGCGCATATGCGTGCGTGCGTGGGAGAGAGAGAGACTAACATTGTCGCCTGTTCGCGTAAACAGATACATGGAAGGATTGACGTAAACAACACGACTTCACATGCTCTCCGTGCAAGCTTGCAATGTAGCCGCTGCAGCCGGACCTCTACCATTAACTCAGCTTTACCCCTGCAGCAGCGCATCACAGATAAATCGACGACAAGATCGCACCGTTTTCTCGTCGGCAGTAAATCGCAGCGCGCACCACCTCGTGTCGTATTCAACGTCGTCTGCCTCGTAACTCACTCCCGCCCGCAGGCGCTGCCGCATGAATCATGCTGTCTCCGCATTGGTTGTTCGTTCTTCATTGCGTTGTTCATTCTTCGTTCGTTGCGTTGTTTATTGCGCTGTTCATTCTTCATTGCGTTGTTCATTATTCGTTCGTTGCGTTGCTCATTGCGTTGTTCATTGTTGATTGCGTTGTTCATTCTTCATTGCATTGTTCGTTCTTCGCCGTGATCAGCGCCGCATAACTAATCTCTGCTGCGACCGTGAAAGTCGTCTTCTGCATGTAATTTTGTATACCGTCGTCTTCCTATATTATCACGCGCACTGCCTCCAAGAGACGTCTCCCAAGGACGTCTCCCAAGGACGTCTCCCAAGTACGTTTCACAAGAAGATCTCCCAAGAAAAAGCTCACAAAAACATCTTTAAAGAACGTCTCCCAAGGAAGTCTCAAAAGAACGTCTCCCAAAGGTCGTCTCATTAAAAACATTTCCCAAGGACGTCTCATTAAAAACATCTCCCAAGAACGTCTCCTTGAGAATGTCTCTTAAGGACAAGGACGTCCCCTTAAAAACATCTCCCAAGGATGTCTCCTAAGGACGTCTCCCAAGGACGTCTCCTTAAGAAGATCTCCAAAGCACGTCTTCCAAGTACTTCTGTCAATGGCGTCAGGGCTTACTCGTGAGCTCGCCGTAACATTTATCGAAAAACATTTTAATGAAAAAAATTCTGCAAGCTGCACAAAACGCCTCGCAAAGCCTCGCCTCCATCCCGAAAAAAAAAAAAAAAAAAAAAAAAACACCCCAAAAAAAAATTCTGCAAAAGTTCCAGAAAAGTCAACAAAAAAAAAAAAATAGCCTCGACCGCCATCCGGGGGGGCGCAAGAAAATGCCGGACTAGGACTAATGCGTATACGTGCACGAGGAAAACTAGCGCTGAACTTAAAATGGATAATTGCCCGCGTGCGTGTGAAAGCTGCGACGTCAATGTGGAAGGCAATAACGACGTCAGCCACGCGCTGATATACGGTAACACACACACACACACGCGCACGCACGCACCGGCAGCCACGACACACACGCACGCACGCGCGCGCACACACGCACGCACACGCACACACACACACGCACACGCACACGCACGCACGCACGCACGCGCGCGCACACACGCAGGCACGCACACGCACACACACACACGCACGCACGCCACGCACGCACGCTCACACACACACGCACACACACGCGCGCACGCCTACGCACGCACGCGCGCGCACACACGCACGCACACGCACACGCACACGCACACGCACACACACACACGCACGCACGCACGCACGTACGCACGCACGCACGCTCACACACACACGCACAATCACGCACACACACGCACGCACAATCACGCACACACACGCACACATACGCACGCACATACGCACACACACACGCACGCACACGCACACACGCACGCGCACACATACAATAATGAGAAAATGAACAGTAACCCGAGTGAGTGAGAGACACCGGTGCAGTTCAGAAGCACAATCAGTGCTGATGAAGCTTATCATCTTGACGAGAAAAGCGAATGCGAGCCCGAGGGAAATCACCGCATGTCGGTATATAACATGAGAGAGACACACGAGAGAGACCCCGCTGCGTGACGCACGATGTACACCATCGCGCATGCGCACCACACACCTGACAACATCTACAGCTACATCACGCATGCGCACCACACACCTGACAACATCTACAGCTACATCACGCATGCGCACCACACCACCTGACAACAATCTAAGCTACAATCGCGAATGCGCACCACCACACCTGACAACATCTACAGCTAACATCACGCATGCGCACCACACACCTAGACAACATCTACAGCTACATCACGCATGCGCACCACACACCTGACAACATCTACAGCTACATCACGCATGCGCACCACACACCTGACAACATCTACAGTACATCACGCTATGCGCACCACACACCTGACAATCTACAGCTACTCCGCATGCCACTACACCTGACAACATTTACAGCTACATCACACACACATTGGCAGCACGAATAATTTACGCCGCAAAAAAAATCCGGGAATCGAAAGTAGCAGTTTCGCTTACCCCGGAAAAACGACATAAAAAAACAAACAACAACAAAACATTCGAAAACACGCGTTTTTCTTTAGGGACCACTACAAAAAACAACTCTGGGGCACACCACTGTGAACTTTAGACGCACATTAAAAAAGTACCGATACAGAGATGGTAACGCGACAATTCCTTGAGCGGAACGCTCTTGCTATCCGGTAGAGCTCATGTATACGCACAGCACACTGAGAGAGTGAAATGCATGATGCTATTGCTCACCGAATTCGTCACGGAAAAGACGGAAGCTGTCCGTGTGCCAATGCCCGTAGAACTGCCCGCGATCACGTGACGATATCGGCCAATTCATGTTCAAGAAAATCGTTCGTTGAATCTCGGATAGAGTGCTCCAGCATCGAGCTGCCAGTCTGCGTATCCGGGAGGAATGTGGCCAATTGATGAAAGCCTGCCAAAGCGGAGAGACAACAGATAAACAACAACAACCAACAACAATAAACGACGACGACGACAACAACAATAACGACGACGACGACGACAACAACAACAACAACAACAACAACAACAACAACAATAACGATGACAACAACAATAATAATGACGACAACAACAATAACAATAACGATTGACGACGACGACAACAACAATTAACGGATGACGACGCAACAACAATCAATAATGACGACGACGACAACAACAACAACAACAACAATAACGACGGCGACGACGACGACAACAACAACATACTAATGCACTAACAAGTGCCGCAAGAGCGACAGCGCTCAACTGACGTGTACATGTATCCAGGTATTCATCTAATAAACTCACTGGCAACCGAATCAAGTGCGCCTCCTGCCAGCGCGTTCGCGTCAGAGCATATATCTAAAGGCTTTGCTACAACCTTTACTCTCTATCTCTCTGCGTATCTGTGCACAGTAGGCCTATAAGTGATATAATATCGGAAAGTCCAGCTGTGCTATTTAGGTCATAGAAAAGGGGTATAAAATGGCCGAGGCGCGCTTAGGAAAGTTACATGATTAATGTAAACACGCGTGCGTTTTTAGTTTTTGCACTAACACAAACATTGCAAAATATTCAAATAACCACAATCATATTTGTAAATGTTTCTGCAAACGAAACGCACATGTGTAAATTGAAGTACGATGTTAGTGAAGAGAATTATAGATCAAAAAACTAGACTAGTCCTATCCGAACTCATGTTATATAATAGGCAACTTATACCCCTCTTATCTGATCTCAATTGTGGCGGCGGGGACTTTCCGATATGGCTTATTAGCGCTACGCCAGACGACCGCATGGCCTAGCATGGTAGGTTAGCCACCGATCACAGGACCGCTGAAGGGAGAAGAGCAGCAGACAGGTGCAGCAGCAGCATCTTAATGACGAACGTGCGCGAAGACTAGAGAGAGCTACGTATGACGGTAGAGAGAGAGAGAGAGAGATATGTGAGAGAGAGCGAGAGCGAGAGAGGGGGAGAGAGTGTGTATGAGAGAGAGGAGAAGGAGAGAGAGAGAGAGAGATAGAGAGAGAGACGAGAGAGCGAGAGAGAGGAGAGAGAGAGAGAGAGACAAAGAGACAGCAGAGACAGAAGAACAAAGAGAGAGAGAGAGAGAGAGAGAGAGAGATGAGAGGAGAGGAGACGAGAGAGAGAGAGAGAGAGAGAGAGAGAGAGAGAGAGAGAGAGAGAGAGAGAGAGAGAGAGAGATGAGAGAAGAGAAAGAGAGAAAGAGAGTAGGGCCTTTCTCGTATAGTGCCTTTTTACGTTTTCCGTTACGCGCACGTGCGTGATGCGCGTTTTATTCAAGGGTTATGTATCCCCCTATCAATACGCCTAGCTGATAAGCCAGCAGGGGTTAATAATGACAAAGGTTGACAGGGTCATTATTAATAACCCTGAAGCCAGTAATCATGCGTAGCTTTTAGTAGAGTTACTATATATATATATATTATATATATATATATATATATATAATATATATAATATAATACATACATATGTGTGTGTGTCTGTGTGCATGTGTGTGTACTGCTACTTTTCTACAAATATAGGAGCGCGCCTAATGAACCACTTGATGAAAAATATCGACTATCGTGCGGCGCGGGTCCGATAAATGGCGCTAAGCTCGGAGCAGCGCTGTTAAAATTTAATCGCTCCTGATTATTGAATCGTATAGTAAACGGTTACGATGTAAACGTAAAGGATGCAGATGAAGAAGGGATACACAGACGATCGCCCCCACCACCACGAGGCCCTATCGTCTGCTAATGTCCCCTCACTATACCCTTCAGTGTAATTAGTGCAGTAGCGCAAGATTAACCCGTTTTAGAGTGCACCGTACACTAGTATATGCCGTAGCACTAGAGAACGCGTCAGACAAACTGACTGATACAGCTATTTATTATGCTGTCGTGTGCTATAAATCGTCGTAGCCCTCCTCTATAGCTATACCAGCAGAACAGAGAGAGAGAGAGAGAGAGAGAGAGAGAGAGAGAAGAGAGAGATAAGAGAGGAGAGATAGATAGTGGTGAGAGAGAGAGAAGAGAGAGGGGGGGGGAAAGAAGGGGAGAGGGAGATAGAAAGAGATCGGGAGGGAGAGAGGAACGAAGGTGGATGGGGAAGGAGAAGAGCTCCGACACACGCTAGAACACGAAAGGTTGCTGCAGTGTGTAATAACAAGCCGGCGTGTAGGGGCGGTCACCTCGCACTGCGCGCACCTCATTATATATATATATATATATATACTATAATTCTGGCTAATCTTGTGTGTGTGGTGTGTGTGACTGGTTGTGTTTGTTTGATCTCAGATGTTCTCCGTGATTTTTCACTCAGTAAAAATCAATCATCACGTACGTGGGAATTATTTCCGTGTCTTTTCCACTGCCGTAGCGTTAGTCTGAGGAGTTCGTTTCATAAACCGAGATTTCTGGGTTCGAATACTCAGCTGGTGGGAAAATTTTCTCCTTTACTTTTTACTCTTTTCTATACCTATAATTTGGCTATCTTGTGTGTGTGTGTGTGTGTGTTTGTTGTTGAT